GTATAAATTATTGTCTAATAATGCAATATAAATAAATATATCGAAAAGCCATGCTTTTCCACTTTCTCAGGAAGTTGATTTATTTATCTCTTTAATTGAGGTTAGTGAGATGCTTCTTCCTCTTTCGTTGCCTGCGTGACAAACTGTTTATTCCTTCACATTTCCTGCATCAAATCAAATCATCAATTCATACACTACGTGCATGTTCTGTAATATTAACACAATTTATACACATTATTGCGACTTAATCAATATTTTCCTATATGCATTACAGTTGAACTAGGTTAATGATATATGATTATTTTACAAACGAGTATTCGTTTGTGCGAAGTCTATTATTGTTGTGTTATATCCTTCTAAATGTACTATTGAATTTTATTTTAACTGTTCTGTATAAACGTTATGCTATTTGATGTAAATATGTTCATGTTTATCAGGGCCTCATGGAAGACCACTACTTATTGGTGAATGGGCTACCCTGAGACAAAAGATTGAAAATAAATAAATAAATAAGTAAATGTGATCACGACACCTCTGGCTCTTCAATTCCCTTTGTGGGGCAGGAGTTAATTCCTTGAAATGATAGAGCGCCGTAATGGCCGTCATGCTATGTCAGGGATATACTGTCTTGTGGAGCGCCAGAAGTGTCGAGTTTGACAGATATGAGCGCTATACAAAACCCATAATTACTTTGTCCCATTTTCTTTCTTCAATGATCTTTCTATCTTATCTATATAAAGTCGTCTGTTCGTGTTTACTTCATTATTTTTTTTTAACCCATCTACTTTACACTCCCAGTCTAGTCCTATCTTACGTCGTATTTTTACTCTGCTCTTCTCTTACCCTTTACACATGCAGTTTGGACCTTTCTCTCTCTCTCTCTCTCTCGTTTGCCCAGATCCAATGGAATCTCTTTCTCTATTTTGACTATTCTGTTTGGGTGCTCACCTCACTCTGCATGTAAATGTGTGTCCCACCTCTTTCTTTCTTTCTTTCTCTCCACCTCCGTCTCTCCGCCCTCGTGTCTATCTCTCCCTCTCCCTTTCTCTCTCTCTTTCTCTCTCTCTCCGTCTCTCTTTCTCTCACTCTCTCTCTCTCTCTCTCTCTATATATATATATCTATCTATCACTCTCTGTGTCTATATATATCTTTCCCGCAATCTCTCTTGCTTCTCATTTTTGTCTTTTACTCCGTTTTATATAAATGTAGTTAACTGTCAATCTCTGTTAATGTGTCTGTCTTTCAGGCGCGTACGCAGGGGGGTGGTTTTGCGGTTACCCCCCCCCTCGATTTTTTTTTTATGTGTATGTTTTTTGTATGTAATTTTGGAAAACCCTCCCCTTTTGATTTTTTTTTTTTTTTTAAATAAATAAAAAAAAAAAAAAAAAAATAATAATAATAAAAAAAAAAATGCCAATAGGTGACCTTAAAAAGGTGACCTTACCCCCCCCCCCCAACACGACAAAATGTCAAATTTTCAAATTTCGAGACCCCCCCGCCCCCCCCCCCAAAAAAAAAAAGTGTCCTCTTACCCCCCCCCCCCCCCCCCCCCCCCCCCCCCCCCCCCATATGGAAACGTTTGCTTGTATTTGTCTCATAGGCCACTGGCTTCATCGGGCAGGTAGTTCCATTATGTGAATGGGTAAATTAACTATTACAAAATGAGGGGACACATTACATTGTACAATAGGGACACACATTGTTTTATTTTGCAGAACATACTCTTTTATTGACTTACTTATTGCATGGAACTATAAAACCAAAATGCATTTTGTATTCTAACAATAGGAGTACAAAGAATAATAACAGGTAGTGAATGAAATGCATAAACACCACAAACACCTGGGGAGGAAGCATTCATAAATTTGAATACATATAGTTGATAAACGACTCCGATGAAACTATAAAACCAAAATGAAATTTGCGTTCTGGCAATTGGAGTACAAAGCATGATAGTAGGTGAATGAAATGCTTCAACAGCAACACAAAACACCTGGGAAGCTAGGAAGCATCCATAAATTTGAATAATTTAGTTGATAAACGACTCCGCATGTGGACGTTTGTTGGAGCAGAAAGCAGTGGATTCTTAACAACACGAACCAATTTAACAGAATGTCGGAACGTTAATTAAATTTGGCGCGGTTGGAAAATGCATCTTTCTACCCTGCGACTTTAATGGTACGATCCAGTAAATTAAAACAGTAAAATGGGTCTTATGTTAAAATTACTCATTAAACAAAACCCAAAACTTCAGTGATATCAGAAAAAATATGTTATATCTTACTAATAATTAAAAAAAGATGTATAAACATTGTGAAAGTGTCGCATTTTACGATAAAAGACACAGATTTAGCGAAGATGACGTCATTAGTGCGCTTGCATCAGGGAATTCAAGGTCAAAATGTCAATTCAGACGCTGATAAGTTATTGGTCGAGCCTTTTTGTTTCCTTTATTCCGACAAAATTATACAATCAATCAAAATAAGTTTGATACCAGAAGAAAGCTAACGATTAGTATTTTCATTAACCGCTTGCCCCAAAGTCTCTTGACCACAGTGAAACGAATGAGAGCTTGCGAGAGCGGCCAAAGTGTGATTGAAACTCGCTATTTGCTCTTCTCCAACGCAAAAAGAGACGACATTGTGCTGGACAAAAGTACAGAAAATTTGCATATGGTCTTTTTATATTATACTTTATGAAATGTTACCCGAGTGACTTCCGGGCGCCCCAATGCTGGAAAGAAACGCACATTTTAGAAAACTTTACTTTTTCATGGAAAAATGCTTATTTGTTTTATGCACGCAAGTCAGATTGAGCGGATGATACAACGTTTCCATATGCCCCCCTCCCTCCCTTATTCAGCGGCTGGCTGAGTCGTTGCGATTTTTTGGGGAATCGTAAAAAAAAAAAGTGTACGCTTACCCCCCCCCCCCCCCCCCCCCCCCCCGCTTATACAGCGGCTGGCTGAGTCGTTGCGAAATTTTGGGCCCGATTTGAAAACCCTCCCCTTGAAAAAATCCTGCGTACGCCACTGCTGTCTTTATTGTCCCGGACATTTCCATTTGAACACAACGAAACTTATTCTTGAGATTTAGTTAAACCCGATCTTGACTCAGTAACGTCTTGTTCTAAATTTGTGTCCAAGATGCACTTGAATTCAAGAGCTTTGTTTGTTTGTATCTTGTGTCTGAAGTCAGTTTCGTTTTTATCACAGCGTACGAGAGTATATTTATATATACTGTTGCCAATAATGTTGCAAGTATTTTATTGTTCAATTTCTTTTAATGACGAGATTGTGAAAATATGATTTCTTCTTAACAGATGAAGTTTATATCTTCTCAGAATTTAATTGAGTAATCTAAAAATTTATAGAGACTGATCAATATACGGTTCCGAAAAGATGTGAACTTTATTGATCAAGACTGTATCTTATATTGTCGCAATAAGTTTTATGAAAAGAGGTAAGAAAATATATTCGAACTTTATACGGGAAACAGTGTACTAGCTCCCCAACAAACATTGTTATAATTGTTATTATTTAAACACTTGATACATGAACAATATAAGCCATTTATGAACAGAATGCCCATTTTCCCAATCCCCGGTTACTAGACTGAGAATTTGCCTTAAAATTCCATAATGTTCCTTGGTCATAAGAAAGAAATCTTCGTTAATGTGTCTGTCTTTATATCCTGGCAGGGCCTAAAATTATGCTAAATATTCTATTAGATATTTTTAACCTGTCACACCATGATCATGACTCAAGGACACTTGTTCCAAATTTGTGTCCAAGACGCACTTGAATTCAAGAGCTTTTGAATATTTGTTTCCATTTTGTGTCTTAAGTTCCGTTTTTATCAAACCGTACTAGAGTATATTTATATACTCTGTTGCCATTAATGTTGCAAGTATTTTTTTGTTCAATTCTTTTTATGACGAGATTGTGAGAATATGATTTCTTCTTAAAGGTAATACAAAGTTTCGGGAATTTTGAAAATTGGGTGGATAGTAATTCTTTACAATTTTCATACATTTGGATGCCCCTGTGGATGTATTATGAGCACTCATCAATTTAACTCCTAAAAAACTTCTGCTTTCGAGAAAAATTGAATATAAGAATTTACCGGTGAATTTTTATAAACTTTCAAATAGCGCCTACGGCCGTACAATGGTAGCTGCGACCATGAAAATCTCAGAATTTGTAGTTGTGATATATAATTTCCAAACGGGAATAGCTAATCGGTCGATTTTAGTCAAGAAACATTGTTGTATAGCTTAATTAATATCTTGACCTAGAGAGGGAGCTATATAACATAAAGAGTTTATTATTTACAATTTCATAACTTTAGACTCGATTTCAACCGCGACAATGATCACTGAATATTGTAGGATCGCGTATGCTTCCAATATGTTCGCTTGAACCAAATTAATGACCCCATACCCAAACTCTGTATTACCTTTAATAGATGAAGTTTATATCTTCTCAGAATTGTATTGAGTAATCTAAAGACTTATAGAGACTGATCAATAAAGTTCCGAGAAGATGTGAACTTTATTGATCAAGATTATATCTTATATTGTCGCAATAATTTTTATGAAAAGAGGTAAGAATATAAATTCGAACTTTATACAGGCAACAGTGTACTAGCTGCCCAACAAAAATTGTTCTAATTGTTATTATTAATACACTTGTTACATGAAAAATATAAGCGATTTATAAAAGAATGCCCGTTTTCCCAATCCCCGGTTACTAGACTGAGAATTTGCCTTAAAATTCCATGATGTTCCTTGGTCAGAAGAAAGAAAGATATACATTCTCGTGCACAATATTATGCCAAAGCAGTATGCAATTAATAATTTTGTACAACCATGCCAAAATATGAGATAACAATATGTTAGCATGCTTAGTAGTTATTTGTCCTGAATTCTGTAAATTGTGAGTTTTATTCAAAATTAAAATATGGCAAATTATTGTAAAACAAAGTTGAAGTGATCTCACCTTACCCCCGTAGATACTCTGTACGATGCAATACTAGTCTCGGCCGAGAGGTTAGTTTTTGGCGCGAACTTCCAGTACATCACCTCAAAATCGTTCGCAGACGGTAGTTGTGGCGAATAGTAACATGTTAGCGAAGCATCCTCGCCCGCTAGGGATATTTCCTTTCCATTCGGGTTCGAGTGGATCCGTAAACCATAAGTGATGGAAGAAAAATCTGATCAAAGAAAACCAATATTAACTCGTTATATGCCACGCAAAATACATGTGCAGCATTGTTTTGTTTTGTTTTTTTCTTTGCCTCATCAGAGGATTTATTGATTATATATATACATGGTTACGTTTAAAGATACAATACTACAAATCAAATTTACATAATCGCAAAGACATTACTATTGTCATAACAAAGAATTGAAATTAAGTTTTGATTTGCAAAGCAATTGAATCATAATGAACATAAAAATTATACTGATAGTTTTGTTTCCCTCTCTTTTTTTTTCTTTTCTTAAATTAAATAACACCCAACAGTTCTTTTGGTAAAAGCTTTCTGGTCATCTTTATGTTTGATTTACTTTCCATTCTTTTTATAATTTCTCTATGGAGATTTTGTTTAGAAGCAACTTTTCTCTTGTCTATCCCAGTTATATTTCGTTTAACCATCAATTTATAAATGGTCCAAAATGCTATTGTAAAGAATAAAGTACAATGACTTTCACAATCTATTTTGAGTAGGTGTTGGAGCATTGTTATTACCACGGGATAGGCATACATACACACGATGTATCAAAGGTTTCGAAATTATTTGACTATTTCCGGTGCCAAATTAATCTATACTGGTTTCACAGTGTTTCACAGAGTATAATCAAGACTTCAAATTGGTAATTTTGCGAGGGTATTATTTTTTTGCGGGATTGTAAGTGTGGCAAACGAGGGTCTGTGTAAAGAGGCGAAGAAAGCAACCAAAATGTTAAAGCCACACTGTTCTACTTGTAGCTACTTGCTCCCTCTATAGAGAAAACAATGCCTAATTGGTGACCATTGGTCCCCCATGATCCTCTTTTTCTTATGATAATTGAGAGCTGAGTTGATGAGATAACCACCTGTCCAGTGACATTGCAGGGTGATCTAATCCCTCTTATAAACTAGTATAGATAAGCTTTGAAAGAGGTGAAAAGCTCCGATTTTGTGTTGTTGTTTTTGCACCAGCTTATAATCTTCAATGTTTTTACATTCTCTTTTTAAACTATTTACTTGGCATTATTGTGTATGTACTTTGAAAGATTTTATTCGAACATATTGTGTTGCATTCATGTATGTATGTTTTTAGGGGCCCCATGGGAGACCAACTGATGTTGAATGAGCTACCCCGTACGAATAAATAAATAAATAAATAAATAAATAAATAAATAAACAACGGACGAATGTATCACTCCCCCAAAACCATCGAAAACGTAGAACAACATCCAACTTTGCAAAAGAGGATTACACGTAACTTGTCTTGCCACTTTGAAAGATCCCTTCAAACTACCTCTTCCCTCGGTAATAAAATGTGATGTACTTATGTCCTGTGTCGATGTATTTCAGATTTCTCTTCATATTCTGTGATTTTGTAAGCGTTATGGAACTTGTTGTTTCAGCGTTCCTAAATAATCCAAATTACGATATTATGATTGATTATTATCTTTATAACCCCCCTAACGTGTTGGGAAGCCCCAAATTCGCAAACAAATTGATGGCAAAATTGTATACACCTTTACAATTATGAATCAATTTAAGTGAAATTTTGCCATCAAATTTTGGGGGTTCCCAACACTTTATTGCTCACCGGTGGTACCAAGCACATAAAGGTTTACGTACCTGAGGATAGGGGGTGAATCTTCTGATATATCAGTCGACAATAATACTTCTTGTGCCAATTTACGGTCATTAAGCCATTCTTACTAGGTAACGTATGAAAAAGACAATTGTATATACTTTTGGATTTGGCTTAGAATTTCTAGATATTATTTGTTAAACCTGAACATGTAAGAATAAGAAAGAAACTATTTTAAATCGTGCATAACTTATTATCGTAAACAAAATATACATACCGAGTACAAGATAGCCACACAGACACAAACACCAGAACATGGTGCTATAGCTCTACAAGCACGTCCAACCACAGCCTAAAACACTGTCATAAATAACTCTAGTTTCCTTGAGACTATTCTCGAATGCAGTTTTCTAAAATGTCAAGCCGCATACCAAGCGCAGTACTAGGCACGTTTGTGTCGTTTACGAAAGTAATAATGTCTGGTTCTGAGGAAGCGAAAGAGCAATAGCAACTCACAAATAATAATGATTATAAGACTAAATAATTTTTTCTTAATTTGACTGAGCAATTTAAATCACTCCTTAATTAAAGAGAAAGACATAAAAGTGATTGAGCATAGGTCTGATTGCATCCTGAGTGTCTCCATACAGTTCACAACTTAATCATTCATATCCCTTGTATATATATATACATATATATATATGTATATATATATATATAATATAAAAGTATTTATCGTACTAATTTTGCTATGTTCATGATGCTTGACTATGATTGAGTGATATTAAGTTTGTATGCCATCTATATTTGTTCATACGATGTATTTATATTTTGTATGTGTTTGCACTTCAGAACCTGAAGAAGGCCGCACAAGCCGAAAGCTCGTAATAAAATTGTAAAGTACAGGTAGGTCTCACGTTCCTAGACCATTTTCTTCACGCCTAATATATATATCTATATATTTTCGTAATTCAAGCATGAAAGGAAGACTGGTTGAATAAGGCCCTTTGTTATATACTTTAGATGTAAGCTTTAAATCTCACATTCTCAAGAAAAAATGATCGGGAAAAATTTATTTTTCACATACTTAAATAATTACGAAACTTGGTAAGGGTATGAATAATGTTACTGTAATAACAGTTAAGCAACCACCTGTCAGCTTTCTTCTCACTAGGGGAAAATTTACATTTTCCACATAAAAGCACATGTACGTAACTAAATTGAAATAAATCAAAAGTTAACAGTTATGTTATAAATGTATCTTAACGTATTACAAACATTTTGAGAATATTATTCTGAATTTCATTTGTATAATGCAAATCAGCTCCATCCATACAAAGTGTTGGGGAGGGGGCAACATATTAAAGTCTATATTATGAAACTTTGCCTTTTAACAACTGGTCAGAACAGCGAGCGCATAGACTTTGGATAGTATGGTAATGACTAGTGATGAGCCTAAAGCTATGGTCACAAATCAGAGCAGCGACCGATCGATCAGTAGCCTGCTAGGTCGCTGCTCTAATTAAGCATCGCCCAGCGATTAGGTCGGTGCCCGGCCGGCGACCGCCCAGGCACCGAGCGTATTTTGGGCGGCGAGTGAAAAGTGAGCAGGCGCCGCCCAAATTTTAACTCCGCGCTAAAACTTCAGCGGCGACCGAGCGATGCCCTAAAAACGAGCGGTGCCTGGGCGGCCGCCGCTCGGCGGCCGGGCCGGGCAGAATTGGTTAAAAACTCGCCGCTCGGCCGCCGAGCAGTCTACTTTTGGGTAATGTGACCATAGCAGAAGCTTTTCGCGGAATTCGCACTTTATGCTAGTATAAAGCTATGGTCACAAATCAGAGCGGCGACCGCCCGATTAGTAGACCTAAATCGCTCGACGGTGAACGCTCGATTAGGTCGGGGCCCGGGCGGCGACCGCCCGGCCACCGAGCGTAGGCTGGGCGGCGAGTGAAAGTGAGCAGGCGCCGCCCTAATTTATATCCGCGCTAAAACTTCAGCAGCGACCGAGCGATGCCTTAAAACGAGCGGTGCCAGGGCGGCCGCCGCTCGGTGGCCGGGAAAAATTGGCTAAAAACTCGCCGCTCGGCCGCCGAGCAGGTTACTTTTGGGTAATGTGACCATAGCATTAGGTATGTAAGAACACAATGGAAATACTAAAGCTCAAATGAAGTGCAAGTTTTCATGGTAAGTGAAAATATAATCCGATTGTCATTATGTCTTTTGCAGAGGGTGCGACTTAGTTACGTCCTTGATAAATATTATGATTTGTGTTTTTTAGAGCATGAAGAAATCAAGTACGAAAACACATAATTAAATCATTTATAAAGGTAGTACACGTATTGGCAGAATACTGTTGTGTATTTGAAAGGAGTTCTTATATGATATTATAGAAAATCAAAATTAAAAAAGAATTTGCATTCATGTTCCTTAAACAGCAGTAAAACAAATTCAAATATCCATGAAATATATAAAGCAGCAGTAATCACGATCAGAAGTGTCCCGATCAATGAATTCACTGATCATGATTTTCCAGCCTCTTCTTCAGGTTTTAGACGTCCAGCAGTCTTTCAATCCAAGTCTGAATATGACAGACTAGCGTTTTTGTGTGCTTTTTTTCCTTCTTTTTGCCTTCTTTCAGTCGAAGATGATTTCAGATGTGGTTGCACTATTCTACTTTGTTCTGAGAATATTCTTGGTTTTGATCTAATATCATTATTTACCATTTCATGTCCAAATACTTGATACCTCATACAATTATATTCTGTATATAGCAGCATAGTATGTTGGGGATAAGGTATCAACATCAGATGCTGCTCTTTGCCGCCTTTGAACAGATGTGCCTGTACCTCAGATCAATCATGCCTTTACCCCTTTTGCTACTATAGATGGAACAAGGGCCTTTCCTCATGTATTGATAATATTCTTCTTTGCTGCACAAAGTTCATGAGAACAATTCAGCGAGTTCTGGGCAGTCAACAATCTTCTTGACTTTTTCAGGGCGACTGGTTTCCCTATTCCAAACACTCTGTCACGTTCAAGCAATTCACGTAAGAAGAGTAGCCGATAAGAGATTACCCTTCTTAAGATGTCGGTTATCTTCTTAATGTCCTACACCGTGTGTTTCCTATGTCAGCCTTAATTCCTTAATTCCTTAATTACATCTTAAGCCTCGGTCACAAATGCCATTACGAACTGCTACGAACGCCGTACCAACGATTTTCAGACAATGGAAATTCGGGAAGACAATGAAAAAAAAATGGAAAATTGTACGAAATTATCGTTCGTACGAACCTTTGTGACCGTAGCATAATGCATAGCCAACATGATCAGCAGATCTGTATCATCGCAGATGAGGACAGTGTTTACCACTTATTTTAATGCTGTATTATCAATCAAGATATCCGAATTTCCGGTGGTATTGATTGCTGTACAGTCTACCTCCTCGAGAACGGTACTAAGCATATTGAATACCGTTTGTTTGATTACTCCGTTGCAGTCACATTTGTTTTTCTTCACGTTCAGCAAAGCTTTATGTGCACACCAAATTTGGTTCTTTGGAACTGTCAGTGTGTCTGCATCAAGAAGCATCTTTGATTACAGGTCTATCTTCACAACCATTGAATAAAATAGTTGCCTTTCAATACCAATGAGCCAAAATACTAAACATACATACACTCTCAAAGATTTGACCCTTGAACCATGGTAGGCATTACAAAAGTGCTCTACCATCAAGAAGTATAGATTATCACCTATCGGGTCTGTCTGATCATTTTTGAGCACATCCTAAAGAACATCACCCAGCCTCTCTTGGTAGCCGAGCATTGGCGAATAAATGATGTTGGGTGAAGGGAAAGTTCATACTTGAAAAGAGCTGCTAGATCTTCCTGCTCGTCGTGGTGCCAATAAGACTCAGTCTTTGGAAAATTATGTCAGGATTTACAAGAATTGATATCTGTTAAAGGCAACCAATATCTTATACATTAATATAATTGGTTGGTTTTTCCTTTGGAATGAGGAACTGTTTACATATTTTACAACCATTGACTCTATTATGGTCTGGCATACAGGTTTTGCTTTGTCGACACTCACTTTCTCATGTGCAGTACTACACCACTCTATATATTATACAGGGATGGGTCATTGCTAAATGGATCCATTTGTTTGAGTGATTCAATCAACTTGTAGGCTTCATGTCCAACTTTGGTCTTGATTTGGATGTCTCTTTGAGGGTCTCGCTGGTGAGCACCGCATCACACTTAACATTTATTTAGCGATCTCTTCCATTGGAAAGTTAAAGGTATTACAAAGTTTTGGTAAATTTTGAAAATTGGCTGGATAGTAATTCTTAAAATTTTGATATATTTGGATGCCCCTGTGGATGTATTATAAGCACAATAAAATTTAGCCTCTAAAATACTTCTGCTTTCGTGAAAAATTGAATATAAAAATTTCGATAAATTTCAAATAGCGCCTACGGCCATACAATTTTAGCTGCGACCACGAAAATCTCTGAATATGCAGTTGTGATATATAAATTCCAAATGGGAATAGCAAATCAGTCTATTGAAGTCAAGAAACATTTTTTTATAGGTTGGTTGGTTCTTCGTTTAGATGGCGCTCTTCAATCTCAAAGATTATTTGCGCCAGTCAATTTCGTGTATAGCTTTGGCGTGGGCTTCGGAAATCAAGCCCACGAGCGACTTTCCTTGGTGAAATGAAATTAATAGTGATATGGTTTTATAAAAAAAAAAAAAAAAAAAAAAAAAAAAAAAAAGCTGCAATATTAAAATTGCATAAAATGCACATAAAAGGCTAGATGGGAGTTAGTTGCAATTGTTAATGGAAAAACCGCAAATACTTCATTTTATATATTATTACAGGATCGATATAAGTTAAGGGGATCCCTGATAGCTTTAAAAGCTATCTAAAACGATTAGTATCGTATATGTAACCCAATAATTCACGAGTAAAAATTGGGTTAGACATCAATAATTGTTTCAGATTGGGGTTGTTCAATTTAATCCTTTCTTTTAAGAGACGTCTATCTTTGTCGTATTTTGTACAATAGAAAATAAAATGTTTAATTGTTTCATCTTCTTGACAAACTTCACAAAGACCAGTATCGTGTTGGTTAATTTGAAAAAGGTAATAATTTAAACTACAGTTACCTACTCTTAGTTGTTGTATCAAGCATTCTTCTCTGCGAGATAGGCCTTGTCTATGTATGGGCTTTGAAACGTCGCTATGCAAAGCATATAAAAATCTACCGTGTTCTGCATTGTCCCATTCTGCTTGCCATAATTTGTTATAATGGATCAAACGAGAGGCTGCCAATTCACTTCTTGTATTTGGTATAGCTTAATTAAACTCTTGACCTTGAGAGGGAGCTATACAACATAAAGAGTTTATTATTTACAATTTCATCACTTTAGACTCCGATCGACAACGATCACTGAATATTGTAGCATCGCATATGCTTCCAATATGTTAATTTGAACCAAATTCATGACCCCATACCAAAACTTTGTATTACCTTTAACCTCGGTACAAAGATGGGATCACCAATGTCCAGGTCAGCCGCTTAACTTCTGTCGTATTTTTGCCTCTTGTTAAAGCACCACTTGTCTTTTCACTTCTCACGAGCTCTTGCTCGATTATGAGATCTGTGCATAAGCCTGTCCATGCAGTTCTGATCACTTCTTCTTCTTCTTCTTTCATGGGGGAATGTAGGTTCATCTTAATTTCCAATACATATCATACTAATTTGCATAATATGCAAATTATGCCATTTCTGTTAATTATATGAATTCAAAAATGTGAACATCATGTTTAGTGACGCAGATAATATTTGTTTCAATACCTAAATAATGTCAATCGGGTACCTGGATTCAATTTTATAGCGATATTGTGTATATTTTCATATGATAATAACTAATTTGCATTTTATGCAAATTATTTATTATCTTGAGACTTTTAATGTTGCTTAGGGGAGCTTACTGAAACGCATTACAGTGGAATAAATTCTTCTGCAATTAGTGGTGGGTTACCCCTAAATATCGCTTGATTGACTGGATTATCACTCTGCGCGCACACACACATACACCCATACACACAACGACACAAACACACACACACACACACACTCCCTCTATTTCTCTCTCTCTTTCTCCACACTGCAACATAACAATCTCTCTCCCTCTCCCCTCTATCCCTTACACACACACTCACACCCACACAAACACACACATCCACACATTCCCTCTCTCTCCCTTTCTCTCTCTCTCTCTCTCGCTCTCTCTCTCTCTCTCTCTATATATATATATATTTCCTTCTCTCTCTCTTTTCTCCAAACTGCAACATGATAATCTCTCTTCCCCTCGCCTATATCTATTAAACACACACACACACACACCCACACACTCCCCCTCTCTCTCTCTCTCTCTCTATATATATATCTCCTTCTCTCTCTCTCTCTCTTTTTCTCCAAACTGCAACATGATAATCTCCCTTCCTCTCGCCTATGTCCCTTATACACACACACACACACACACACTCCCTCTTTATTTCTCTGTCCTCTCTCTCTCTCTCTCTTTCTCCACACTCACCATAATCTCTCTCCCTCTCCCCTCTGTCCCTTACACACACGCACACACACACACACACACCCACACCCACACACATACACACACTCTCTCTCTCTCTCTCTCTCTCTTTCTCGTCCTAAGTTTGCATCGTTCTCAAATACTAAAATAATAAACGAGGATGCGTTCAAACCTCAGAGGCATTTAATAGTAGCGGGGAAAAAAAAATCGTGTTAGGCCAAGTAAAAAAATATACATGTTTAGCGTCCCCGCCCGCTTCCTTTTTTGGGGCCACCTATTTTTTTTTTTTTTAATAATAATTTTGTTACTATGATTAATTTTTTTTTTCTTTAATGAATTAAACATACTGCTAAAATGATCTATTTCTGATTTAAAAAAAAATACCGGCGGCCATCTTGAAAAATAGCCCGACTGTCCGGAAAATGTACCGAGCGGCCATTTTGAGCGGCCATTTTGAAGAAAAAAAAAAGGCCTCCTCCTTCCTATTTAAAAAAAAAACAGGACGCTAAACATGTTTTGTTTTTTGGCCTTATATAGTAACAGATGTAGAGTATAATGGAGTCAAAGCATGCATCGTTACATGGATGAGTCGATTGGTCTTCTCCATTTTAGATAGATAGATAGATAGAAAGTTTATTGGTTTCCACAATATCTCATTTTATAAAGAGTGTAACAACACATTGAAAATGATTATAATATATATATGTTCATACAACACCGGTACACACTACTCAGAATATTGTCCATTAAGTTGAACTTAAGAGATATAGTGGCGGAGCCTATTGAAAAGCAGAGCTTGTTGTGGGTAGGCTCCTTAAACTACAAATGATATAATTAACTAAAAGTAAAGTTTATAAAATACAAATACACGCTAAAACAGGGAAAAGAAGATTACAGGGATACATGAACCGATACTCACAATTAACTACAAAAGACAAGGAAAAAAAGGAAGGGAATATATCTGCAGCTTATTGAAACAATATTACAATACAGTTTGTTCTCGATATGAGTATATTATAAGCATAGTTGGCATGGTCATACCATTATTTACTCATTGTAATGAACAAAAGTATACAGCTTGGAGACAAAAAAAAGTCAGGAATCAGGAATGACAATATGTATTCAAATAATCATATATCAATTTTCTTCTGAGTACATGTACACTTACAGACCATTAAATCACAGAATCGAGAGAATTCCAGATCTTAGGACCTGTGTATATTAAGGTATTTTGAGCAAAGCGTGTTTTCGTTCTAGAAAGGTGATAGGAAAACACATGTCGGGTAGGATAGTCGTGGACTTGATTTCTTTTCTTAAACAAACAAGATAGTGCCTGGGGCAGTTCGTTGTTATTCAGCTGAAACATGAGGCAACCTAATTGTAAATTAAAAATATCCCGAACTCTCAGTACTTTAGCTTTATGTTGCCTTGTGATATTGTGAAATTTGCTGAAAATTATTAGCAATGGTTTTCAACATACAAATAAGCGAGGTCCCCTCTCATTTGCTCTGTACTTAAAAAACTGAAATTTTCATTTTCCCTTAAGAAAATTTCAATTATACATGCACCCTGAATGCAACTATTGTAAATATGTTTATAAACAATCGCATGTATGGAACAAATATATTCCGTCAATAATAATGAAGAGAATAAAGTTTTTTTAAATTGTATGTAGGCCTACAAATCAAATTGGAGAGCAGCTTTCAAGAAACGTCACAGTGTTGCCAAATTGTGTTTGATTGAATAAAACTACACAAATTCTAAATTTTCTTATTTTTAATTGGAATTGGCTCAATTCTCATCGGCCTGATTCTCTCATTTGCCGCTTTTGTTAAAATCAACTTAATATCAAGGTGGATTTTCCTTTTGACACAATATTAGCATTTGGTAGTAGGCATTTGGCTATTTAATATAGTAAGATTAAGAGAGTTAGATACAGGTAGAATATTAAATCACTAATATTTTGTGTTCTTTATTGATTACAGCTTGGGAAGGAACGGTTCTAGGAATGGTAAAAGTAGTGGTGGTGGTGGTGGTAGTGTTGGTGTTAAAGATAAAGTTGAATTCTGGTCATGCGATTGCATTGTGAAATAAAAGGTGTGGAATGGATCAGAAAAAGTTGATCATGTAGCATGTAAGTATTGGTGTGTCCTGCAAGGTTTTGGAGTAATCAAAATCATAATAAATTTGTACCAGTCTTGGTAAAGTAACAAACACTATACACAGAAAGATGTATATGGGACTACACAAATGGTGTCGGGCCTACTTACCTCGATTTCCTTATCTTTCTATGCTCATTACTCAGCCAGTACACATTTTCTATCAAAATTGTTTTAGCAAATGACATTTATTTATAATCTTGAATATTCAGTGTAAGTTTCGTTTGATTCTGTGAGAATTATTATTTTTTTTTTACCAGAACTCAAGTTTATCTTTAATGCTCTTGGTCTTTTTGATGATTTTTCCGTTGTATTTATTATATGAACCCATTTTCCTAAAACGTCAGCTCCAGGCGCGTACCCAACTGAGCAAAATATCGTCCGGCGCAATTTTCAAATTTCAGTCCTGGGGCAAAAATGAAAAAAAAAAAAAATGTGCTCACTACCTCCCCCCCCCCCCCCCCCCCCCCTCCACCTGAGCGGCGCGATTTTCACATTTTCAACCACCCCTATTGAAAAAAGAAAAAAATCCTGCGCACGCCACTGGTCAGCTCTATATTTAATGGACCGAGATACGACCACTTGATACGGTGTGAGCTATCACGTTGGATAGAGTTCTGCTGCTACGTCGGACAATGCCATGAATACAACCCTGTTGGCATCGGCTCTCTGGGTTACTTGCAACGCACATGTATACGGAACAGTGGATATATACGCTTTTCTGAAAAGTAAAAAGAAAGAAAGAAATTAATTGCATTTAAAAATTCAAAATCAGACCTTTTGATCTTTTTGATTAGGGACTAGAAATTGAATGACAAATTCATCCCCTTCTCTCTCTCTCTCTCTCTCTTTTTCTCTATCTCTTTATATATATATATATATATATATAAGCTCTGGAAGGTAATGATTTTTTTGAAGTGGTATAATCTGTAAATAAAACAAATTAGATCATATAAGTCATCATTATTAGGCTATTGATTATACAGGTGTATTGTAATTATTATCAATGAGATTATTGTTATTATTAGTAGTAGAAGTATTATGATCACTATTATTACTATCATTATTATCATTAATATCATCATCATTTTTTATTAACATCATTATTATTATTATGATTATCGTAATCTTAATCATTATCATCACACCACGACACGTCTACGACACATTACCTCATAGCCTGCCATAAGGCTGCATGCACGCTATTGTAATAGTGCTTTGTAGACGCGAGCAAGCTACTGTTACTCTGCTTCTTGCATGATTGCACGCATTCGTACAAATAGCAGTTATTGTTCATGCATGCTCATTGGACTGTGCCTAGTGTTTTGCACGCGCTATTGGTAGTACCATCGCGTTAATCCGATTATCTCGTTATAAATTTGGCACTGGGGGGGGGGGGGACTTGTGGCTTGGCACAATGGGATTTGCCCTGTGGCAGGATAAGAGTTAAGAATACATACCTGTCCATAATCCCCGGGGAATGTGAAGGCTTCGAAGGAAAACCCTTGCTTAAGGTGTCCTAAATCACTGAAGAGTCTTACTGTGCTATCATCTTTACATCTGGTATAGGAAAGATAATAGGTAAAGCAATAAAAAGCGAATTGATAATTTACCCCTACGTTGTGTGTCCAGAAGGGTTTGTTATTCGGACAGTTTATTTCTAACAGTAATTTGAAGAAGTTTAAATTCAACATTTCAGAAAGCCTTTGAGAATTCTGTTGGACAATATTACAAATGACAAATATCAATGACAGTTAGTGCTACTTGATGCATAGTTTGTGTTCAATCATAGTTAAAGTCAAAGTCAAAGTCAAAGACAAGAGTGACAGCTTTAGTTTTGTGTAGCCTCCGGGTACAGAACCCCATCGTAATATGCATCGAAAGCGATAGCTTAGATAAATAAGAGCAGAAAGATGAGAAATGTAATATACAGTGCGTCCCAGAAAAAACGAAACCGAGATTTATCGATGTTTTATCATATCTAAATCATAATTATAATTAATAAATGATACATATTTGTAAAGCTTAGATCCTCCTCTTTCATTTTATGCAGTTCATATTATCAGTGATGCATATTTCACACATGAGTGATTAAAAGCAATTTGAAGAGAGGATACCCAAAAGTCATTTGGCGGGCGGTATCTAAATTTCAAAGAGAAAATCACATTCCTAGAAAGTTCATTTTCTGCCCTTTCACATGACACCTCAATCAGGAAAAATGAGCCAGGAATTACAAAGTTCTGTTTGTTAATTAGTTTGTATTTCCATAATTTAATTAATTCGTTTTCACTGGCTGCCCGACGTAGCAACAAACATTAACTCCGTTTCGTTGACGATCAGCCATGCATGAAGTCTTTCGTCTATTTTGTGCATGGCTGATCGTAAACGAAACCGAGTTCCCGGTTTCGTTTTTTTCTGGGACGCACTGTATACTAAAAACTTCGACGTCTCAAAAAGGGGGGAATGACTGGGAAAAAAGTTTAGGGCATGATCAAATTGATAAGAACACGGCCGTAAGATTCCCCACAACGCAACCTATAGTACTTTCAAAGACCTTGTCCATCACCAATGATACTTTCGAATATGACAATAACGTATAACATATAAACGGAATATGATTTCTATGGGATATAAACCAGAGTATCAATAATGCCCTTGACTTTATTTCTCGAAAGATTTTGCCTATATTATCATTATTTTAGGTATTTTACTAGCTCATATCCTAACGATACTTTAAAGATGAAGTTGAGTTCTGGTCATGCGATTGCATTGTGAAAGAAACGGTGTGGAATCTATCAGGACAGGTTGATCATCTAGCATATAAGAATTTGTGTGTATTGCAAGGTTCTGGAATCATCAAAATGATAAGAAATTTGGCAAAGTCTTGGTAAAGTTACAAACACTATCCACAGAAAGATGTTTATGGGACTACACGAGCACGTGGCGTAAAAATCCTACCCCCGAGTTTTACGATGTTACATGACATATTTAGAATATAAAGGCATTTGAAGAGCCATGCTTTTCAGGGAACATGTCTAATCTGATGTTCTTCCACACTTGCATAATAAGAATGATAACGCTCACAAATTATTTTTCACCTCTTCCCAGAACTCAACTTTCTCTTTAAATGCCCACATTCTACTAAAATTTAAACCCGACGCTTTGCTGAGGCTTTTGTTTACAATCATGTCTAACATACAGAGTTAGTCTGAGGTCTAAATATTCCTTTTGTAAACCTGTTCAGGACAGAGATGCTTCTAGGGCTAAATTGATCACACATTGTTGTTTAAATTGGCAACAATAATATTTTCCTTTCAATGCTACATTGTTCTAATAACATGGAATGTCTCTGAAAACAGAATACATTGATGGTAATTTAGTCGAAAAGCTGACATAACATGGCCAATGTTGATCGAAAGCAATGATTTTTAACCTCTGAACGTATCGCCAATTAAAGGGTTTCAACGCTTACTTTCCTCTTTTTTAAAAATCCTGGTTTCAAACACAAGGTGGGCATGCAACATAGCTGCACACAAAGTTACCTGCAGAAATTGTTGCAATTTCTTTTTATGAATCTGGTACACTCATGTTTAGGGCTCTGAATCCAAAGTGACTGGGCCGGACCAGTTTCAGTTTCATGACGAACAAACGTGATCCAAATTGAGACCCCAAAAAGCAATGCTTGTGAGTGGGGCCCCTGTGGAGGATGGACCTCTCAATCCCAGCGGATTGGCAAAGAGACCAACGTGTTTCAAGGACCTGCGCAATTCAAAACATGAAAGATGGTAGGATACGATCATGGATACTATACAGTCTCACGCGCGCAGAGCCCCCAAAACAAGCAGGTCACTGAGCCCGCCAACCGAGATCAAGAAGTTCGTCTACAAGATGTAGAATTAAATGCTTGTTTCGAAAGTGGAAGAGATTTTAGACTCAGGGCTGTTTCCATCGAATCAGTATGAACTAAAGACTTTTCCTGATATGACGCTGCAAAACTGCGGCGGTATTGTTTTATGACTTGTTTTATGACTTATTTTTTCATGTCTTGTCTTATCCTGTTATGTATTTTTCCTGTCCTTTGTGTCCCGTTTTGTCATTCTTTTCTTCTTGTTCTTTTGTTGTTGATTATTTAGATACTTTAAAATGGTTTACGAAAATATGTTATTATATTATATCTATTTTACTGTGATTATTAAGACACTTTAAAATGATTTATGATAATAATGTTCATATTATATTTATTCTTGGGAACCTACAAAAACAAGCTGTGCTTTCCAGTAGGCTCCTGTTTCATTTCATAATTTTGATCTTACTTTGTCAACTATATTCTTTATTGTGCAAACTATTGTTATATGAAATGAAATAACTACAATCAATCAATCAATCAATCATGACGTTAAGTGTAAAGCCTACCGCACACTATACGATCTGACTACGATCCGATTTTGGAAGAATTTCCAAAAGCATTTGACGTGAAAATTCAAACATATAAAGTTTTAATAACCAGGTATCTGAATAGTCATAAGTTTAATAAGGTCTAAATATGAAGGAATTTTATGCTTCATTGGAGGAGGAAATGCTAAATCAGCTCAGAATCGTAGAGACGTAGTGCGACATTTTTACGACTTGAAGACGATTCGGCTTTTATGCTAACTAGAATAGTTTCATGCACTAAAACACCAAATACTCTTGTCATTTGTAACATACATAAAAAAGAAGACGTTTGTTTAGATTGTATTAGCTACTATAATTTATGTTTATTCAAAACTCAGATCGCAAATACATCGTTTAGTGTGCGGTGGGCTTAATACGCTTCACGGTTTTGTATCTTATAACACATAGCTCGGTGAATACGCGCAAGTCGCTCATTAATTTTGTTGCGCGCAGTTGCCATCAGTCCATTTAAACGTTTAAACAAACGCGGCTGCCTTTTGTGGCGGCGGTCCACCGCGCCATATCTGGACAAGTCCAAAGGACCTCGGAGTCCCACCAACCTGTTCTTGATGAGATCATATCGCACGGCAGCATTCGATTCAGCTTCTGGTGTTGCCCAACACGAATCAATGCTCATAGTTAACTTGGAGGAAACATGTTGTTTAATGGTAACCGCATATAACAGCTTATCCCCAAGCCAAATCTTCTCATCGGATGCCAGTGATGTGAAGGCCACGTCACTGTATCTCTTCAAAGTCAAGTGAAATGAGGCAAACCCTGTTAAAATGGAGAAGAGTTGACGAAAAATGTTAGTTGAAATGTCGTGGTATTGTTAACACTCTACAAAATAGCCTCACGATAGTAGAAACGGATTTCGGATTTATGATAATTTAACAATTCTAACAAAATTTCAACAAATTTTAGTCGTTGCAATGCATTGTTTACGTTCTAAATAAGAATAAATGCCAAGTTTCTGAAATTGATAACATCTGACACTTAAAGAGAAGGTTGAGTTCTGGGAAGAGGTGAAAAATAATTTGTGAGCATTACTCATTCTAATTATGCAAGTGTGGAAGAACATCAGTTAAGATATGTTCCCTGAAAAGCATGGCTCTTCAAATGCCTTCATATTTTAAATATGCATGTAACATCGTAAAAATCGGGGGCCGGCTTTTTACGCCACGTGTTCGTGTAGTCCCATATACATCTTTCTGTGCAAGTGTTTGTAACTTTACCGAGACTTGGCCAAATTTCTTATCATTTTGATGATGCCAGAACCTTGCAATACACACAAATTCTTACACTCAACCCAGGTGATGTAAATGGGTACCTGGCAGGAATTAATTCCTTGAAATGCTAGAGCGCCGCAGTGGCTGCCTTGCTAAAGTCAGGGTAATAATTGGGGCAGCGCCAGGAGCGTCACAACGTGACGGACATGTGCGCTATACAAGAAGCCACCATTATTATTATTATTATTATATGCTAGAGGATCAACCTTTTCTGGTCGGTTTCACACCGTTTCTTTCACAATGCAATCGCATGACCAGAACTCAACTTCATCTTTTAATGATATCTGCAAAGCAATCTCAATTTTACTAGAACATGTTTACAATAGGCAAGCTCAGGGTAAGTCCCACACATTACAACATATTGTTGTATTGTGAATTTTGAATATACGGGTTGATATGGAAATATCATTTCATTTCTTCTTTTTTTGGTCTCTTTCGAGCATTCTAGCTTGACACAATTATCAGATGATGACATCTTAAATGTGACTGGCTACAGATGTTTGTTTGATTGATTTTATTTCTGCGTTCAAATAACAAATACAAGGTTATGCATTTTACATAAGTAGTACATACATAGCAAATCATGTCTTATAATATTATACAATAACCATAACACAAAGCAAACAAACACGTATAACGGATATTTATATATATTTTTCATTGAACTAAAGAGATAAATTTCAGAACGCAGGAGACCGCCATCGTGAGCGGTTAGGCTGGAAAATGGATGGCGGCCTCGTGAAAAAGAGAAAAACAAGATTTAGCAATAAAACTCTCTTGGTAATACCTAGTGATCAAGTAGATGCAGTGCAAACTGTGCAATTGCAGGTGTGGGTGCAGCAGACGGCAGGTGAGTAAAACGAATATTAAATGTGGACATAATAGCTTGACCTAGACGCAACAAGCTTTTAATACCTTTGTCTGAGATTATTTTCTCACTGGGAGTTCCGTCGACTACTTGGTCCATTGGAAAGACGCATTGAAATGGGGTGTCGTCTCTTTCCAAACCGGTCACTACGTTTGAAAAGATGATATTGTCTCCAGATGACTGGAATAAGAGAAGAAATTCAAAATAAGGAAGTGATCACTGACCATTTAGATAGTGTTTACCAAAAAAATGATATTAATTGCATACGGAAAGGGGTTACCACGAACTTCATCTTATATATCAAACAATGCCGTACCTAAACTAAGGTTTCCTACGTTCTAATCACATGTTTTGAGCAAAAGAAAAATAAAGAAAATAGATAAAGAGACAAATAAATGATTAATGATTAAATAGGAAAATAAAAGAATAAACATAGTGATAAGAGGACAAGTGTTTAAGGGGGAAGTGTGCAGTTTTTCCCGGTTTATATTCAAAATAATTGTTGAATTGCTAAATGATAGATGTACATGAACTACTTTACTCGTTGCACACAACACGTCATTTGTATTGCGTCACTACTTGCGTTTATCATACCTGTAAACATGATGAAGGCAATGGACGCATTCATCAGGTATTCAAAGCAGTGTTTGTGTGCGTTAAATTTACAATAAATTGTTTGTATGACATTTAACCCTCGAATGATGCGTAAATGACTGCGCCAAACAGTCCCTGACGCGACCCTCCGTCAGCAAAATTACGATTCATTACGCGGACGAGAAATATGTAGCGGTTAATACATTTTGGCATCGTTCTGAATTTAATACCAAATAATATGATCACTAACAGATAAGTTGGATACGCTTAAATTTCTTTTTTTTTATGCACTCTGCCCCTATTTCGGAAAAGAAAATTGAAGACCTCTGCAGTGTGGTTTCACTAATATAACCTGCTGGTTGGCAGAGTACGACCACGTGCATTTAAAACCGACAAAGAAGATAAAGATACAAAAGTGTGCAAACTAATGGAATAATAATAATATTAATAGGCATTTCTATAGCGCCGTCTATCTAGAAATTCTATTCCGAGGCTTTAGCCTAGCTGCCATTACAGCGCTCTAGCATTTCAAGGAATGAATTCCTATCAGGTACCCATTTACCTCACCTGGGTCGAGTGTGGCAAATGAAGATTAATGCCTTGCCAAAGGACATTAGTGCCGTATCGGGGATCGAACCACGACGTTTGAATATAAATTCAAGTGCTTAAACCACTCGACTACCACACTTCTGTAGGGCAAAGATGTTTTACAAAATTAATTCAGTCAAGGGTAAGTCATGAATGAATGGTGGTGGTTATTTTAGCTGACTGCTAAGAAAGCATAAGTGCTTGTAAGCAAGCAACCAGGCGGCCGACGGCTTTAGGTCCTTTCGAGGGACCTGGTAATGAGGAGTAATGCCTTGCTAAAGGGCACTAGCGCATCGCCTTGGTTTCGAACCCGGGTCACCGGATTATGAGACCACTGCAAGGGTAATTTCAATACATGTATGGTCTTGCCTTTAGAAATCAAGTACACATTACGGTTTAATATACGTTATTGAATGTTCGCACGTTTCAGTCGCTGAAGGACGAGGCTAATGGAATTACCATTGTTTAATTTTGAAAAAGTCTTTGAGATCAATTTAGGAAGAAATTACATACCTGGATCGCAGTTCCACAATTGTCGTACGGAGTCGAGAGAACGATATTACCGTCGCTATCCTCAAATCCTTTACAAGCAGAATCTTTAAGATGAAGAGATTGTGGATCTTCGAGGGCTCTGTTAGGAATTTTGATTGTCATTTCGGTGATGCTACACGACACTTCTACTTCTATATGAAGGCAAGATATAGCATAAAAAGAGCACAATAGAACAAAATGTGAGATATACATGCAAAGCGTAACAATTAAATAATATTCTTGTAAGTAAACCATTGACCAACAACATGGAAAAAACATGTGCTTATGATTAATTCTAAAGTATTTCTCTGGAAATGAACGCAGTGCCAGGCCGAAGTCTGTTTTATATCGATTGGTGAATTCTATGAATATACCATGTGAGTCAAAAAAAAGTTTACACTAAAAAAATTGTCATTTATTTTAAAAGTCAGCTATGAACAAAGGTCATCATACGTGTTTTGAAAAAGTGTTATATTACCAATCATTTGGTTTCATTTTTGTGTGGAATGTGTTACGCTTGGATGAACAGGATGCATTGTTTGCGAGAATGCAAAAATCGAATTGCGAAATTCGCTTACAATCTTACAACAGACCTGCTGCAAGCTTGTAGGCAAAGATAGCTATGCCTGCAAGCTTGCAGGAGCGCAATATAAAGCCCTTGCAATCATGCAGGCCGACAGTGTGTGCCCTGCAAGCTTGCGGACCTTGCAGATGTACATCGTACGTTAGTGTCGCAGTTATGCGCTTTGGACGTGCACTCGTCGATGTCTAAATATGATAAAGATAATAATATTATTAATACTACTACTACTCAGGCGCGTATGCAGCGGGGGGGGGGGGGGGGGTTGAACCCCCTCAATTTTTTGTATGTGTGGGTTTTTTTATAGGAAAAGGGTGACCAAATAAACTGACCTTACACCCCAAATCCTCCTAAACGAAATATCGTAATTTTCGTTAATTTTTTTTTAATGTGCTCTTACCCACCCCCCCCCCCCCCCCGCTTATTCACTGGCTGGCTGAGTCGTTGCGAAATATTTCATCATAAACTGGACAAAAAAAAAAAAAAAAAATGCCGTTGGACGTTAATGCACCAAATGTGGTTCTCAAATTGCAAAACCTGATCTGATCCCTACTCTTGGAAGGGGTAGGAGAAAGCAATTGAACGTCATATTACTCCAGGAAGTGCATTAAAATACGTTTAATGTGGTTCTAAAATTGCAAATTCTTCCTACTATTGGAGGGGGTCAGAACCCCCTCCCAGAACCAACCCCGCTTGGTCGCTCCGCTCCCTCGCCGTTAAAGCCTCGCTTTGTCGCTTCATCGTTTTACATTTATTTCACCCCATGCCATTTTGTGCCCCCCCCCCGGTAAGAAATTCCTGGATCCGCCACTGATGCCCATACCTCTTTAGCTTCGGGGGCTCTGCCCCTTGACCCCCGCCGGAGCTTTTCCCCTACACCCCACTTTGAAAAACGTTCAGCGGCGCCTGCATGTTAAAGTGGGATGATGCGGATTTTTTTGTCAGCCCCCCCCCCCTCCAAACGTTTTTGCTCATTACGCCACTGATGACTAGGCCTATACTAATTCTACTACTACTACTTCAACAACAACAACAACAACAAAATTACTACTACTACATTTACTACAATTAATTGGGAGAGTATAATGGCTGATTTGCCAATTTGAGATTCCTCGACTTGAACTTATTCATAACTTCTTCATTTTTGTCCCATCTTTCCCAAACTGTCATCCCAAACTCTCAAAAAAATAAAATGGAAGTTTCTTATTACCAATCATATGCAAGAATATGTTTTGACTAATACATGATGATACAAATGTTGCCGGGAAACCGGCTACTAATTGATATATTTGGTAAATGATCATATCTATCCGGACTGGATAGATATCGCGTAGTCCCATGTTTCTGTGTACAGTGCTTGTAACTTTCCCAAGACTGGGCCCATTTTAAAAAATCATTTTGATGATTCCAGAACTTTGCAATACACACCAATACTTATATGCTAGATGATCAAACTTTTCTGATCAATTCCACAATGTTTCTTTCACAATGCAATAAGATGACCAGAACTGATCTATACGTTAAAGATGCTATGTCCCTTTTGCAGCCAACATCAAATTCTGTAGAACATTGCAGGAATTATTAAATATGTCATGTATGTCCTATCTGTGAAATCAAAACATTAGAAGTGTTTTAGTATTTAAGTTATGCAAGGAAACCCGTAAACCTTCTATACCTCGCTGTCAGACACTATTGAGTGACCGACTGACATCTTTTTTTATTTGGTAATAACATACATAAAATGAGCTGTAACAGGTAGGCTACATGAGCGTTTGTCGCCATGAATAACCCACTACTTACAATGGCCAAAATTAAACTGATTTAATCTTTAAGCAGCACAAAACGTACGACTATTCGGTAAAAGGGTCTGAAAATCAAACTATTACTTACGTGATTGCAATCACTTAATTCAATTCGACAACTAATGGTCGTAATTTTCCATTTAAAAGCCATTTTCAAGCCCTTTCGTTTTCAGGGAAGTTTTAATTAGTATCGTCTTACAAATGCCGTTTGAATTTAAACATTTCATTTTTGTTTGGCTTGCAAATAGGAAATAGTACCTTTAAAGCGATGCTTAACTGATGAACGTTCTGCCCTAGCGTACTATTTGATAGGGGCGGATCCAGCCGACGGCAAGGGAGGGGCAAAATAGGGGGCCCAATTCGTGAGAAAATGTGTAGCGGCGAGTCAGCCAGCCGGTGAATAAGGGGGGGGGGGGAATAGGAACACTAATTTTCTTCCAGAATCGTGCACCCCCCCCCTAGATCCGCCACTGCTGTTTATTGCACATCGCCATCTCATGGTCAACTTTCCAACAGCGCAAAACCCGATACTTATTTTGATTCTGATCGCAGATCGACGTAGACAAGAGAGCTCGATGAGAGAACCAACAGCGCAGCTATGGAGGCAGCGGGTTACGTGACCAAACTGCTAAAGGTGACCTAAGAGTGCGCTAGAGGGGGGTTCGGCAGTGTTTCTAGTATAGTACAGCATGGCTTTAAGAGACCGATTTTATCGTTTTCGCTATAGGTGAATTGAGACAATTTATTAAGGCCCTTACCTTCGACAATGAGGATTCCTGTGCATGTGATAGACAAGACATCATCAGAGATGATTGCCACTACCTCGTGTCTCCCCGCAGTGACAGCGCTGCCTACGGGTAAACCATCTAAAGAAAGATCAACATGTACAGCTCCGTGGTATCGGTAACCGGGTACAGATTTCACGACGTCATTAGCTCCGAAATCTGGATTGAAGGTAAATGTTGTCTCGCCCGGACCTACATTCACGTCGCGATTTAAGTCAGGGCAGGTGACCGGTAACTCCGTTACTGCCAATCAAAAAGGAGGGAAATGAATGAATAGTTATGGTGCGCCACCAACAAGGCACGTTTCGATAAGACGCGGCAAACCACCGCGGTTTATCTTTTGAATGTGTAAATGAATGGCAACTGCGCACAACACACTATGAATATGACGGACAAAGAAAGCGGACAAAATATACAGTTCCTCAGGTAGACAAAGGAACATCCATTCACTGCTATTATGTAAAAATGTATAGAACAGGTGTCACATGCATTTTCACCTGTTCTACACGTTTTTACATAATAGCAGTGAAGGAATGTTCCTTTGTCTACCTGAGGAACTGTATATTTTGTCCGCTTTCTTTGTCCGACATATTCATAGTGACAACAACAGTAATATGAAGCGTTTTACACTTTGCGTCATAAAAAACATCCCACCGCGTTTTACCCTTCATATCTAGACGAGGCTTTACTTTACTTTACTTTAATCCATCAATGTTGGTAGGACAGAGCCTGTTCATCGATCGATTGAATTCCTTTGCATCAATACTTCTGTTTGTTGTGGTTTCGTGTCGAGGTGTGTGTGTGGAGGGTGGAATAGTTCTGCATAATAATCATTCTCTCGACCAATTCAAGTCGTTGCTGAAAACGCACCTTTTTAATTCATAAATAATATTCTGCAGTTGTGAGTCGGTCAAAGGAGGTGCACACCGTCTTATTTTTTGTTTGTTCGATCCTATGTTTGATCCTATGTTTGACCTCTTGTATGTATGTTTGTTTGATCTCACTCTTTTCTTATTTTTTATTATTATATATGCATGATTTATTGAATAAAGAACAGATGTATAAGTTGTGTGTTTATTATAAGTTTTGGTAAATAATTGTTAAGTCAGAATATGGTGCGCTTAGAGACACCAGTATTAAGCGCCTTATAAATATTGTTTATTATTATTATTATTATTATTATTCTATTTACTTTCAAAGTCATATACTAAAGGTGAATTCTTCCAATAGTTATCGAGTTTGTTTTTGAAGGCATTTACAGATGGGGCATTAACCACTTCTTCAGATAGGCTATTCCATGTGTCCACTACTCTATTCGAGAAAAAGAATTTCCTGATGTCCAGATGTGAGAATTTCTTCTCTAGTTTCAGAGTATGGCCTCGTGTTCTGTTTTCCTTGCATAAGTGTAGTAGGTTTGTCTGAGTGGTGTATAAGCCATGGAGGTACTTGTAAACATCAATCATATCTCCTCTCTTTCTGCGATGGGCAAGAGACGGTAGCTTCAGGTATCTCAGACGTGTTTCGTATGGAAGATTCTTCAGTCTAGGTACCATCTTTGTAGCTCTTCGTTGGACGCTTTCAAGTCTCTTTTGTTCACCTATCTTGTATGGTGACCATGCAGCTTGTCCGTACTCCAAGACAGACCTTACAAGGCCTATGTACAAGAGTTTGAAAGTGTCCGTGTCCATGTTTGCGAATGATCTTCGTATCACCCCCAGTAGCCTGTTAGACCTGGATATAACATGGGAGATGTGGTCTTTGAAGGTCAGCTTAGAATCAACAAGCACACCAAGATCCCTTTCCACTTTAGATTTATTCAGGATTGTAGTTTCATTGCCATTCTTCATGCGATAATCATAACTTGAGGGGGACCTGCCAATTTTCAACACAGTACACTTCTCTGGGTGAAATCTAAGCTGCCATGTATCTGACCATTTCTGCATCTTTATCAGATCATCCTGCAATTTCTGGGAATCTTCGTCGGTGTCACATCTGGCATACAGTTTCGTGTCGTCTGCAAAAAGCTTAATTCTGGACTCTATGAAATCAGGAAGATCGTTTATGTAGATCAGGAATAACAGCGGCCCGAGTACACTCCCTTGCGGAATTCCACTCTGCACTGATGACCATTCCGACCGTTGACCTTTCACTGCTACACGGTGTCTCCTTCCGACTAAGAATGCTTTGATCCATCCCAGTGTCTCATCCTGGATGCCAAAGGCTTCAACTTTCTGCAGCAATCGATAATGGGGTACTGAATCAAAAGCTTTCATAAAGTCCATGTAAACTGCATCAATGTTACCTCCATCTTCTAAGATATGTGTCCAGTCATTGAGTACTTCCAACAGATGGGTGGTACAGGAACGACCAGCAACGAAGCCATGTTGGTGTGCAGACAACATCTCATTTGTTGATAGGTGTTTGATGATGTGCTTTCTCACCATGCACTCAAATATCTTGCACACAACGCATGTGAGACTCACTGGTCTATAGTTCCTGCTTTCTTGCTTGTTTCCTTTTTTGAAAATGGGTGTAACATTAGCTGATTTCCAGTCCAAGGGTAATTCTCCCTTTTCTAAGCTCAATTTGAACAAGAGTGAAAGTGGCACATCAAGAACGCCTGCCAACCTTTGCAGTAAACGTGGATGCAATCCATCAGGTCCTTGAGACTTATTTGGTTTCAGATTCCTTAGCAACTCGAACACGTCTGATGGTACGACAGCAAAGCTTGTTAATGCTGATTCAAAGTCAATTTCAGAAGGAGTCGGCATATTCTGCAAGTCTTCGCGGGTAAACACACTAATAAAGAAGTCTTGCAGTACTTGGGCTTTTTCTATGTCTGTTTCAGTAGTGGTTCCATCCGACTTAATAAGACTGCCGATACTTTCTCGAGCGGTTGTTTTAGTCTTAACGTATGACCAGAAGGCTTTGGGATTTTCCTTGACTCCAGATGCTATATCTTTCTCCAATCTTTGCACTGCCTTCTTGCACCTCCATTTAACTTGGTTGCTTGCTCGGGTGTACATTTTGCGGTCCTCTTCTGTCTTAGTCCGTCGCCATCTTCTGTAAAGCTGGTGCTTCTTTTTGACATTTGCCAATGTGGCTGAGTCCATCCATGGTTTCTTACATTGACCTTTTCTGATGTTTTTTTTTTTAGTGTATCTGTCTGAAACCTCTAGCACCATGTCTCTAAAGAAATTCCAAGCATTGTCCACAGTTTTGGAGGAAAATTCGCCTTTCCAGTCAATTTTGCTTAGTTTGTCTGCCATACTGTCATAGTCTGCCTTTGCATAGAGATACTTCACAGTATTTTATTTTTCATTGATTTGTCCTCCTCTGATATGAAAAATCAGAGTGCAGTGGTCGCTCTTGCCTATTCCTGCTGTTGTTTCAATGAATGGTATCATGTCCTCTTCGCTTGTAAACACAAGGTCTAATACATTTGATTGCTGACCAAAGCGATGTCTAGTTGGTTGGTGCTGATGCTGTATAAGAAATGCAACTTGTGTTGCCTCTAGGAATTTGCTGGCAGGATGATTCAATCCTTTGTTGCATTATTCTGTCTCCCAGTCTATTTCAGGAAAGTTGAAATCCCCTAGGAGGAGTTTGTCACAATTTCCACAGACACCGAATTGTTTAATCAATGTACACAACTCATCATTTGCTGCCTCGGTACTTCCTGGGCTTCTATAAACTAGACCAATAAGAAGTTTTTTCGAGTTTGACATTGAAATCTCTGTAAACACTGCATCCTTAAAGGCATGATTTGTCATTCTGGTAGATTTCTCCACTTTCAGAGAAAGATTTACATATAGGCAAATTCCTCGGCCATGTTCCAGGAGGTTGTGGAAAAGTTTGAATACCTCCAATTGTATTTCACTTAGCATTACTTCATAACGAGAGTTTTTTGGCTTTACTTCTGTGATTCCAACAATCTGAGGGTTGTGCAAGGTGATAAGTGCTTCCAATTCATTTCTTTTGTTCAATAGCGTATCTGCATTGGTGTATATACATTTCAAGTTGTGCTGTGCTGGTGCTGAGTAAAAATCACGATCTGTGACAACTATGTGAGGTCTGGGAAGTTCTGCTTGCTCTGCAGATCCACTACTGGCTGAATCCCTTCTTCCTGAAATGTTTTGTTGGATTCTTGCAGTTGGAAATTGCTGGCAGTGTCTGGGTAGCTCCCTATGTTGACGACCTTACCATTTCTACTTATCCATTTGGCATGAAAATCCCCTTGCTCTGTTGAAGCTGCCTTTTTTTGCCTGCCATATCTTTCTCAAGTTTTTTTCCTCATCACGCTGGAGAGGAGTTTACACTGAAAGCAATGAAGTTGAGCTTCCTTTCTTCTCTTGCCTCTAGCTCTGAGACATATGAGTCAAGCTTTTTATCAATAGACTTCTGTTGATTTGTTTTTAGTTCATGGAGTTCTGTCTGTACATCAGATAGCTCTTTACGAAGTGATTCAACCACTTCATTGTCTGCTTTCTTTTCCATTTCCTTTGATAGACTTTTGAAGTTAGTTGTAAATAACTCAAGAGCTTTGTCCAGCTTGGACTCTATGCTGCTAAGCCTGGTCATATCTTTTGAATCCAGGGCCTGGGTTTGAATCTGCGGCTGCTGTGGAGCCTGCTTTAAACAAGTTAAACACCTCCACTGGATTTCAGGTTTGCAAAGCATTTTCTTTTCAGTCTTAGTATATGGTAGACATTTGAAGCACATCCATCCTTGGCAAGAGCTACAATGTAGCATGTCAATTTTACGCGTTGCCTCATTATAGATAGTTCTGCATGGTCCAATACAAGGAGTTTGAGTATTGTTGAACTGTGTCTGACTACTATCAATCCCACTGTCCGCCAAAATTACATCTGCAGAGACATCACAACCACCAGTTGCCATCTTGAGTTGGAACTTCTATCTGTAATCTAGATCTATCAGATCAAATTGAACTTGGTGGTCTGCAGTGTCCAAGTTGATTTGGGACCAGACTAGTATCTATCGTTGGGACTAATTTGCTGTATTATCAGACAGCAGAGTGGAAAATCCTTTACGAGAGCAGTGTCAGTGACAATTGATTCCACTACAAAGTTTTCCAGAATGATGACATCAATAGCAGATACCTTTGTATGCAATTCCTACATGTAAACTAAGTAACATAGAAACTTACAGATGGGGCTGAAGTAACTTCCATGCAAAAGCTGACTGTAGCCACTGTATTTCCAGAGCTGAAATTCACTATTTTCCTCTTGGCAGTGTCAGTGACAATTGATTCCACTACAAAGTTTTCCAGAATGATGACATCAATAGCAGATACCTTTGCATGCAATTCCTACATGTAAACTATAGTTACTATAGTAACACAGAAACTTACAGATGGGGCTGAAGTAACTTCCATGCAAAAGCTGACTGTAGCCACTGTATTTCCAGAGCTGAAATTCACTATTTTCCTCTTGGCTATATGGAAAATCCTTCACAATTTGCTTGATCCAACATATAATCACTAAGAATATCACCAAACACCTAAAAATCTTGCCTGATGTCAATGATATTTAGAGATATTATTCCACAAAAAATCCTGATCTGTTTTATGAGATCATAAAGACTTTCGAGAAAGAAAAAAAGTCAATATATGGAAATTTCATTAGCATTGTCTATGACCTTTTGAAATGTGCGGTCATGTGATCATCATAATGACTGCATGTATCATGTTATCTGAACATGAATTCCATGGGATATACATGAAACTGCGCACTTAATAGAGTTAATTTCTCGAAAGTCTTTTCGGACGTGTTTATTCATACAGAGGGGTGATGAGATAACTCTGATGATATTATTTGATTGAAAATCATTTAGTAAATTAGACTAAACTCTACTTAGATGGCTCACTCTGCCGCTTTGGTCTGTATCACAATCGAACCTCTGAAGATCGCTGGGCAAAATTACACGCCTATTACGGGCCATACTTCGTAGAACTATTCGACTACAGCCATCGAATTGATGTATAGTTTTAACCAATCCGAACGCAGCAAACTGTACAGCCATACAACCATGTTGCAACTGTACAACTATATATCCCTCGAAGCACTCGCGAACGCATGTAGAGTTTCCAGCGTGCGGGCAGAAGTGCCATGATTCTGTAGAACTATGTTTTAGTAATGATTATTTTGACTTTTTGCTAAGGAAGCATTAATGCTTGTTAGTAAGCCACCAGATACTATACAACTGTGCATCCATGGAATGGAGAGTTTGGGTTTCTGCAAGCTAAGATTGAGAACGACACAATCGCACGACCTGAGAATGGAGAGAGCTTTATAGTCAGACTGCCAATAGAGTCATGATATTGATATAGTGAATATATATCAAATTACTATACAGTCACGTTTTAGTAATGCTCTACATCACAATTTCTTTCTTGAGGGGTACGAAATATATGAGCACTAAAGAAAGTGGTCTTTATAGAGAGGCGGCCACTTAGACAAGTGTAATTAATATATATATATATATATATATATTTATATCCCTTATCGTAAGATTGTTGCATTAGGTGTGTACACAACAAGAAAAATAATAGTTTGACTGTAAAAGACGTTTCCTGCCGTCTAGATCGAAATTGTACATTTTTATTGATGACGTCACGCATAGTACCTTTTTTTCCCTAGGGAAAAAGGTACTATGCGTGACGTCACAATACAAAATCGCATATTCTTGAACTATGCGTTTTCCAAGCGAGCGCGTACTTGATTTCAAATGCCTCTGCGCGGTCAACCCCCGCGGTGTCACGGCGCTAGCTCAAGCCTTATGCAATTTACACTGTGCGATAACTGCAGTACTGCACTACACTTGCGCCAACTAAACAGTCCTTCAATGTTTCATTTGAGCCGTGCAATTTTCTTTATTTCTTTTCGATCTGAATGTAGATGTGAATGTGAGTATAAGGTTCATGTTATTACAGAAGTGTACAAGGAATAATACAGATGGAAGGGATATAAAACAAATATACAATGACTCATTCTCGGAACAAGCTAAAACTATTCGCACTCAGGAACATCATTAGTACTTTTCTCCCTCGGGCCGATGGCCTTCGAGAGAATAGTACTAGTTGATGTTCCTTCAATGCTAATAGTTTCAGCTAGATCCTCGAGTGTCATTGTATATTTGTATAATATACCTAGAATGTTATATCATGATTTTCAAATCGCGTGGCCTAATAGGGGTAACAACCTCGGGACAAGCTCTTGGCATATAATACATATAAGGGATACATAATAAAGAAATGAATAAAGATAAGGAGTTACACCACAATACTCACGAGTGTTCTGCACGTAGAAAAGACAGGTGGCAAGGTTCCCAAAAACATCTATTGCAAACATTGTTACAGGTGTTTGTCCTGGAGGGAACACGTCTCCATTGGATCCGGTAGTGACATTGTACGTTGTCTCACTCGGGGCGGGGTTGTCGTCGGAGTAAGTATACTCACCCGTGTACAGGTTGAGTCCCAGGAAGGAATTTGGCAAGTCGGTACTCAGAGTAATATCGTTGCATGTCACAACCGGTGGATCGTTGTCGATGTCTCCGTCTACAAAATCATTGAAAGGAGAAGAGCAAAAGTTTTTCAAATTTATAAGATGACATATATAATCTATATATAATTTTGGATTTAAAAGATATAATTCAATTTAATGCAACGTTATATTTCTTCTTTTTCATTTGTGGTCATTATGATCATAATTATGAAGCAGATTACGTGTTCATTCATGCGTGACGAGTGCTTCAAAAGGACAAGTAACAAAAATGTTTGTTGATAACCTCATCAATCATTTTGAAAATAGCACACAACTGTCAAAGTCGATTTTTGCACTCTCGCAAACAATGCCTCTTGTTCATCCAAGCTTGAACACATACCAGACAAAAATGATACCAAATGATTTGGGATAAAACACTCTTTCGTAAGATGTATAATAATTTACTGTTCATTGACGATTTGTAAATGATTAGCATTTTTCTAGGTGTAAATTTTGTTTTGACTCACACGGTATATTAATAAAATGTCATCTAGAGGCATTCCAGACTTCTTCAAGCAACGAAACATAAACAACTTCCTATTACACCTTTTTATGAGATCGGATATATGACTTTCTTACTTTAGGTTTGATTGTAAAATTATTCCGAGGACTTTGGCTTGATGAACATAAATTAATTCTTTGGCGCCAATGAAAATTGAATTTTGTTATACCTTATTTGTCATAAATGTTATAACCATAGAGAAACAATTGGACGGATTCAATGTCATATTATTTTTAGCGGACCAGTGGTACAGATCAGTGAATGCATTTTGTAGTTTAGACTGAGATGTTACTTTTCGGCTTTCTACAATCGTTTAGTCGTATAAACAAAATATTTATAAAATGGTAAGTTAACATCAAGACAGGTATCATTGATCATTACAATAAATAGAATCGGACCAAGTTTGGTACCTTGCGGACCACCAGGATTGATTGCTTTCATAATAGACAACTGACCAAAATATTGTACCTTTAATTGACGGAACTCGCGGAAACTCAGTATCCATGATATTACTCATATCCTCACTTGCATATGAATCAATTTGTTGATAACTATATTATGGTCGATGCAATCAAACGCCTTAGAAAAATCGGTAAGTATGATATTTGATGAAGAAGTTGCATCAAATAGTGGTTAGTGCTTAAGCCAGGCCGATTTCAATACTGATTGGGATCAATACGCGTGGTAATATCTTCCAGTAACCATTAACATATGGAAAATTCAGCAAGTTTTGCAAAGTAAGAAGTAAGTGATACAGGGTGTAGATTTTGCAGTGTGGGTGGTTGTGACTTAAAGGAAGCCCTGACACTTACACGATTTTGGTTCGCGCATGGTTTGCGCACTGTTTTGTGCCACGTTCTTACCACAACGGGAAGCGTTCGCGGAACATGCGGGAGGATGAGGGCTAATAACAATAATAATAATAATAGTCTTCCAAAGTCCACTCCAAATTTTATTTAACCGAAAATGGAAATTATTTTTGCCCAATTGATCGTGAGCCCGGCAGCCACTGAACAGCGCCAGATCGACGTTGCTCTATCCCTTAGTGTTGAACGCCAAACAAGGTAGCAGCAACTCCCGTCTCTTATCGTCTTTTGGTATGACGCGGCCGGGGTTCGAACCCACGACCTCCCGGTTGTGAGGCGGACGCTCTACTGACTGAGACAAAACACCGGTGAGACAAAGCTCGAATTCGTGGCAGAATTTTCAAAATTTCCAAAATGTTGGCACGACAAATTTGTTTGGCGACTTTCGTGAACACTTTGCGAACTATGCGTTTCCTATACATATCCTACCTGTGTCGGTACTGACCGCTGCGTGCCAATGCCCGAGTGGCACGCATATTTACGACCAGTCCACGACGGATTTACGAATATATTGCTCACAATTTGTGCATCGGCTGCGCATACTTCCCGTACAGTTTTTGCCTTACTTGCGCATGGTCTACGCATGCGCAATAGGTGATACGAGCACGTCGTGACAATGCGTGAATAATGGCTTGAACAATACGTTAGTATGGCGTAAGGTATGGCGTAATTAAGCCGTACGTATGTCGTAAACGTGACGGGACAATGCGTGTCATGTTGTTACGCATTGCACGAACGATACACGGTCTTCGTGCAACTAAATGTCACGCACTGGCACGTCTCAATGCGGGGCAATGCGGGAACACAAATTCGTGCAAGTATCACGCACTGGTACGCCTCAATGCGGGCCCGGGGCAATGCGAGAACACATTTATTTTGCATTTTCCCGCTCATTTCAAGTGTCACTCGGGGTACGTGCAATAACTGAATTATTCATACCTCTTGTAAATTTGATATTTTGGTGTGTTTTTTTCGTAACTCAGTGATGAAAGGTGGAGTTGTTGAATTAACGCCTTAGTTGTATACTTTTAGGTGTAAGCATAAAGAGGTCACATTCTCAAAGAACATAAATAGGGAGAAATTAATTGTTCACATACTTAAACAATTATAAAGTTAGTAGGAGTATAAATATTATAATTGCTACCTGTATATAACTCGAATTATCCTGTTAACCATAAGCATAACACCATACTTTTTCCTCACACATGAATGCAAAAGTACTCGCATTTATAAAGAAAATTGCCATATTCTTACCTAGCTTTACGAGTTCGCCAAGAGTGCCTTGCAATGCAGCTTGGAGAAACAAACAAATGAACCATACACGTAACTCCGCCATTTCGGTGAACCGGGCGGTACAGCGCGTAAAGTCCTACTAAATAGCTGAGAGCGTATGGATTGGAAAAAATACTGACATTGGGTTCTGATCGACCATATGGACATATTGATTGATATCACAGAGTCCCACGTCGACGCCCTTTCAAACAATAAACGGTGCATTCGGGGTTCTCTGCCCTTGAGGGATTGAAAAATTGAGTTGAAAAAATACCGAAGTTGCGTGCATATCGACGATATGGACATATTGATTATCACATACTGAGGAAAAAACAATGACGGATTCGGGATCCTCCGCTCTTAAGGAGGGGGGGGGGGGGAGGCACTCACCCAACAAGCAATGTTGACAAGAAAAATAAAACAAACAACCAGCTAAGCAAACAAAGAACCACACAAAAGTGGCATCACTTTTATAACATTATTGTAACTTCAAATTCTACGACTAGAAAAAGACAAAAGGATTTCCATCCAAATTTTGAGGGGTCAGATGCCCACGCTCCCCTTTCCCTCCAGCTTCCAACAAAACATATGCACACGATGTGAAGGAGTGAGTAAAAGGGTAATTGAATTGTTAAAAAGGTCAGAGTTTGTACTATTAACAGTTTTTTTTTAGTATTTTTGGTGAACAAAATAACATGTATCATTTTTTATATATTAGAAGCAACGTCAAAATGTATGGCCCTGTTGGATATTTGTTAGTTATTTCTTCTTGTTAATTAGCCTTATCGATAAACAAAATTTGCAACATAATGAATTCTAATATTTGATTTAGAGCAACTCATTTGAATCTACCGTAGTAGCTCAGTGATCATTGAAAGTGTTCATAAAGTACATGTTTGTGAAAAAATATATTTTGTCAAAGAACGATATTTAAAATCCTTGAAATACAAGATTTGTTTAAATATCTAAATCTATCAGGAGGGTGGATATATATTTTTTGGATGAACAGAAAACTACTTCAGAATTTGTTAACATACTACACAGACGTTAAAAACTAAAGGATATAAAATGTATGACAAAGGGATGTGAATATTATAACGATCTGTTTTTCTCAAATATTGATCACAAAGTGTGAAATCATCAACAGATGGAGATGCTACTGCAGGTGAATGGCAGAAAAGCATGAAAAACAGATTGAGATTGAATCAATTCAGATCTGTCACGTCTATGGTTAGATGTGTCGTGGTGTAGTGGATTTACTGTGGATAGGTCGCTGGAATGTGAATCACATGATTCGCGGTTCGAGTCTGGCTCTAATATCCTTTGGCGAGATATTAATCTGCGTTTACCACTCTCCACCCAGGCTTAGTAAATAGGTACTCGGTAGGAAGAAATTCCTTGAATGCTTGTGCGCCTTATCATGATAGCAGTGGAAAAGTCGGGGTAACAATATGATTGCAAGGCCCTCTGAGAGAACAGTATTAATACTTATGAAGCTCCCTGGCTAAAACAAGAAATATAACATTATCATATCATTCTTATTATTAATGTTATTATTGCTGCAGTTATTGTTGTTTTTAACATTACCATTATTACTATCATTTTACGTCACATTTCACGTTATATTTAACAGGAGAATAATACTAAACAGTTATTTTGAATAGACAGAAAATATCACTTTGGTATAGTGGAACTACTTGAACATTTGAAGGAGATTAAAGTAAGCCCCTTGGTTGCAAGCTTTTCAAGAGGTGATACAATTGCAAGTCCAACACAATTGTGGCATCGATCGACTATGTAGGCACAGATGATAGGAATTCGAGAATGTTTTTGTTTTGGTTCGGTCTTAGATGGCGCTATTAGACCTCTTGGGATTTTCTTACCATTAAAGGGATTCGGTAACATTGCTCAGATGAGAAAAAATGGTGCTTTAATGACAGAGAGTAGAATGGCGTTGACTTTACTACAAGAACTTTTTGTAGAAATTTGAACCAATTATTAGAATAAACATCAATGTATATGTCGTATTTTCACTTAGACAGTAACAAGTAATGTATTATATATAGGTAGTGACTTCAATGTTTAGATGTACAATTAAAGATAATCTGAGAGTTGAGTGAAAATAGACCATTATTTATCATACAAATTTTAAAAAACTGATCTGATTGATTCCTTAATTATCCCAACTATATCATTACAATTTAATTACATTTTAGGTGATTAAAACTAATCACAAAGCAACGAATTAGCTCTATAAACCATTCCAGACATTTAAGTGTTAAAAGCATTTTTGTTTAAAGCCTGTCTTATGTCTTATTTTTATGGAAAAACGGTTGGGAAAATTCAAAAATGGTTGGGGAATTTAATGTAAGAGGGTGTCGCACAGTGACGCTTCTAGATTTTTTTCAGGACTTTTTGCATGTTAGAGAGTAAGAACAGTAGAAGGAATAGAATAAGTAACATTTAATACAAAAATTACGCAGTTTTTTAATCAACCTTCAACAATGTTAACGAGTCACTTCAATTACAGTTTTGTACAAATTACATTTTATCTACCTATGCGTAGATCTGTCTCCAAAGTGGCTTATCAATACTGCTATTACTGCTGCCCCCCTGTAATTACCATTACCCCCATCACTGCAATGCACACCTGGGTAAAGAGGGGGAAAATGGGAAAAACACCTAGTCCAAAGATGTAAGCACCGAACCCTGGACCCCCTCGTCAAGAGCTTTCACTAGTGTCCCACAGTGCTCCCATGCCTAGGATTCAAGGCCTACATTATTCGAGTCACATTCAACTTCGTCAATAATACACTTGACAAGTGCTTTGCTCTAAGCATTCTTAATATAATTGTATATAAATGTGTGTATATGTATATATTACTGTCATGATATCGTATTTTCTAATGATTGGTTATGATGATTTTTCTTCTGCTGCTTTCATTCACGCCATCAATCTTGTTTTTCTCTCGCTCTCTCTCTCTCTCTCTCTCTACTCATGGTTGATCCGTTCTCAGTGTGAAATGACTACAAACCATCACTGTCTTAAATAAAAACTGATTCTTCTCTAATTATCCCTCTCTTTCTCTCTTCCTATCACCTCTCTCTCTCTCTCTCTCTCCATCTCTCTCTCTCTCTCTATCACTCGCTCACTCCCCTCTCTCTCTCCCTTCAACCCCCCCCCCCTCTCTCTCTCTCTCTCTTCTGTTCATATATGGGCAATTCCCATCAGCTATTTTGTCTCTGATGTCTGTTTCAAACTGATAGCACCAATAAAACTTGTAGCAGACAAAACCCTAAACAAAATTATACGTGTCTGTCAATGTATTTATTCCATTACACAAGTAAGCATGGCGTGGTAACGTATGGGACATACCTTGGACTCGGTCTTATCAATTCCCCACTTATTTTCCCTCGACTTTTGTTAATTACTTTCCAATTTCCCGGTAATACCTTTCTCACATTTTTATATTAATATGGTGAAGGTTCGTTCAGATATAACGCGACAAAACCGTGGCGGCAATTTAATATTTTTGTAATGACGTAAAGTGTAATACCCGTCACATTACTGTATCGTATAAGTTATAACACAGAGCTCATTAAATACAGGCAATTACTTTGTTGCGCGCAGTCAATTTACACATAAGGAACCCCCACTATGAATATGACGGACAAAGTAAGAGGACAAAATATACAGTTCCTCATTCTACCCTCAGCAATTGCTGTGGTAGACAAAGGAACATCCATTCACTGCCATTATGTAAAAATGTGTAGAACAGGTGTCACATACATATTCACCTGTTCTACACAATTTGACATAATAGCAGTGAAGGGGTGTTCCTTTGTCTACCACAGCAATTGTTGAGGGTAGAATGAGGAACTGTATGTTTTGTCCTCTTTCCTTGTCCGTCATGTTCATAGTGCCTACGGCAGTTTAGCGCACCACGACTGAACCTCCCACTATAGGTATCGTTATCAGTGATATGTTACTAACCTGTAAGACATACATTTGTACAACATATAGGAAAACGAAGGCAGTTAACAATGAACTATTTACGATTGAATTCAATTTATTTTAATATTTCCAGCATGCAAAGAAATTGATAAGCCTACATTCCATCATTCCAAAATCAACTGTGCTTTTTTCGGGTAAATACATATAATACAATAATATTTTTGTTCTCAATAATTACAATAATAAGTAAATTGGTAATACTTCCTGTTATACATCAAGAACCCAAACATGCCTGCAACTGAGCTTTGATCTCATTTCAACGTTAAGGCCCACCCCATCCTTATAATATCATCATATTTATATAAATTTAACAATTGACGCCCGTTAGTTGGGCATAACTACATGCAGAAACCGTTTCATATTGCCATGTATTCAAAATGACACCTGCTTTATTTAGCTTCAATGTGATCTTAATAAGAGTCAGGGAGATGGCCGTTATTGGAGGACAATGAAAAGTCCCCCGATAAAGAGACAAGTTTCGCATCAGTGAACACAACTGGCCACAAAATGACCTGCTCTTGCAGTATTATGTAAGTAATTTAGGGGTCTCTTGCTAGTACCAACTCTTCTTAGGTCCCGACAGAAAGCAACTTTTATAAAAGTCAAAACTCAAATATATATGTATAAGGCAGGGGTACTACATACTCAAGGTAGTTTTTCTATCTATGACGATTTCAATATCTACATAAATCTATTTACATAGTTTTGTTACAGCAATATCTCCGAATGGAGAACTGACCTGTTTTGCACGCACACATAATATACAAGCCTAAACTACGTTACTCGTTGTAAATGTAGCATAATAATTCTATGGTAGTTCTTGTCTGAATCAACTTTATAAATACAAATTAAAATTAGGGGGCTTATGCCGAAAGGGTGGGTAGCGTCGAGTCGCGTGGCGTTAACTTGAACGCGACCATTCGTCCAAAGCCCCCCCCCCCCCCGGTTTGGCCGAAAGGGTACGTTGGATTGTTAGGGCGCGTCAGGTCAGATAACGCGACCAAATAGCACATACGGGGGGGGGTATTCCAAATGTACGCGTTCAGAGTCTCATGCTACAACGCCT